CCTCTCTGGACTCCTGCCTGGCATCGCGGCCGCCCTCCCGAGCGGCCTCCCCGGACTCCTGCCTGGCTCCCTGTTTTTCGGGGTCACCCCATGGACTAGGACTTTGTTTTTTTTGGGTGTTTTTTTTTTATTTTTGTTCTTTTGCCTGTTTGGTCCGGGTTCCCCTTGTCAGTGTTGTGGTCCCCTGTGGTTGTCTTGTTTTTTGGGGTTTTCTTTCTTTCTTTCTCTTCTGCCTTGCCCTCTTATTTCAGACTGCTTCAGTGTATCGGCTTAACGGACTTCCCTCTGGACTACGTATTTTGGATCACCTCTGTTGGATGTGTTTGCTGGCTCTGACAATATTGAGTTTACCTAACACTTTTCAGCCGCATTACGCACGCCGTTTCTGACACTGAGTTCCAGATGCTGTAATACTGAGACAGATGTTTCCAGCTGTAGCAGCTGGCAGGCTGATATCTAGATCATCTGGGATTTCACACAAGGTCATCAAATGGAGCCATACCTAAAATATATCCTTCAACCTTATACACTCGAACTGCGCTATTTGAGGGGACAGTAATGGTAAGATCACCAAAAATTTACAATACATTCTACCACAGTTTTGATGGGACATAAATATAGTAACTTATTAATTTTAAAAGGAATTACTGATTATCACTTTATTTAGAATCAATTAGGAAAATACGGAGTAGGTAACCAGATTATTCCGTGTCCCTTTGTGCCTAAAGAATACGTGTACGTTCTGGCACAGTGATTGTTAGAAATAAGAAACAGCAACCCCCCAACGACCTCCACACAAATAGCGCCCTCTATGGAGCCACCAGTCGGTTGACAGGTAAGTTGGCTTTAGGTAAACAAAGGCTCAATCTTTGACCACACATTCCTCTAATGAACTTATACAATACAAAACCACGTAGCAGAAGAGCTGCACCTGTTTGGTACTGAACTGACAGTTTGTTAACGAATCCTTATCCCCAACATGGACACTATTCTGTGAACTTCTAAAGAAAGTGCATGCCCATTTGTGTTAAGGCATTTGAACCACTACAAACCACTGTTCTACAAGGAGATCCATACTCGACCTGACACGTGTTTGGTTTCAAAATAAAAAGCAACGAGGAATCTAAGAGTTTTTTTAGGATAACTCTCCCACTTCTGATCTCCACCCATCACCACTTAGTGCTTCGTCATTGTAGCTGCGTCACTGTCTCTCTGAGAAAACCTGCTCGATAGTCTCTTAACCTGTTCTGAAGGGAAACACCGGAATTATGGCATCAAAGTGAAGGTGGGGAAAACACACAAAGGAGACATCTGTTCAGGTACGACTCGCCTGCCTAGACCCCGTCACTGTTTGTATCGCACACCTTTTGCAATGACGTTTTCTTCATTTCCCGTTTCCTCACGGCGGGAGTTCGTCTGGAGTTCACTGCACCGCATTTAGAGGGGTTATGTCAAATACGAGGTCGGGGCTATTTGCTATTAGCCTACATAGAAAAGAAGAAAGCGTACTGTTGGCTTTCGAGTGGACTACATGACAAAAAAGATCAGAAAGTTCAGCACCAGGTTTGTTGTAAGGTTGCTTTCCCCAGCCCACATACTCTGGACCCCATATTCTTAAAAAGTAGTCCAATCATCAAACAGATATCCTATGGGAACTGGCTAAATGACAGAAGTGGAGGAAAATCTGTGGATATTGACTTGAGTAACTTGTTTCAGTAACCTGCATGGTTACATTGTTTACACTGTTGTTGCGTTTGTTTTTCTTTTATCAAAAGAAGCGTTCAGACCCATGTGTAACACTAGTCATCTATATGTTAACACATTATGATATGAAGTGCGATATATATGTCATTTATACTGCAAGGTTCACCTAGTTCTGTACTTTTTAAAGAGTGTCACCTGTCTCTTTTTTGATTCAACTATACAAACTCTCTATTGGTGTCCTCTCACATATATAAAATGATTATTTTACTCTTGTGTCTCTCCCTCCCTCTGACCTGGCTGCACTGTCTGGGACTGACCATGCACTGGGCAATGACCATCCACATGGATATGATGTGAGTATCTGATACCATTTTAAGTTGTATGGAAAAAGGTATTTGAGCTGTTGTTGTGGTATTTATCCGGCTTTATGAGGACTCTTCTGAGGGTATTGCACTGATATTTTACATGCAGTACATATGGACTAACACTTATTTTATCCTAGTATTTCCTAGATAATGCACAGTGCCTTAGATTTGTGATTCTACTGCCTATTTAGATTTGTGTTATTGCTCATCTACCTTATATTTCATTTTTATTATGTGGCATTCATGTGGACGGCAAAGTAAGAATTTCATTGTACAGGGAAACACGTTTCCTAACTGTGCATATAACAAACACTTTGACCTAACTGAAGACTCCTACTCAGCTGTGAAGAAGCATTTCATTTATATTTATGTTGCAGTTGTATGAAGACATAGCTCATCAGTCTTTATAGAGACTATTAAGTTTTAATTGTTGATGACTTCTGTCTGATATGGTCCTCCTCCCGGGATTTCACTGCAGAGTTTAAACTCCTCATGCATCACTGTCGGCGCTTAGAATGTGTCTTCATTAATCTGTATGTAAACATGTCTGCTGTTGCTCAAACTTGACTATTCCTTTATATCCCAGGAAGGAAAGTGTGTACTTTATTTTATGTAAGTTATTTTTAAAAAAATGCATGACATCCTTCTTACATTCAGGATCAAATTGATTTGAACAAGAAAATGTGACAGAATCCCACTGAGAGCTTTAGTGGCTGAAATTACTGTACACTGCTGTTGTTGACCTGCTCATGCTCACATCAATACTAGTTTTGGGAGGGGTGAGCGTGTCACTCCGAGGCATCTGTAGCAAACACCTCTTTATCTCTCATGAACACATGTTCCCAGCATGCATTAGGCTGCAGCTGTGTGTCGAGACAGAGTGGCGGGGATTCCCTCTCTGTCACGGCAAATAATTTAATGTTGACAATAATGTCGAACTGAGTATTTGATCTTTTACCACATAGTTTAGTTTTTTGTTATAAAAACAATCAAGATACACATTTATACTCGTGTATGGCATCAATCAGACGTTAGTAGTGTAATTATTGATGCAGTGTTTAATATTTTGTGTATGATAACGAGACACATTTAGTTTTTACACCAGTCCCATCACTAACTGTTCTGTCACATCAGCATGTGACATGCAGCATGCATGTGAAAAGTTCACTCATTCATCCTCTGACCACCAGGTGGCATGCTAAACTGAGACAACCTAGCCACCCACAGCTAGCATCTGATGATCACACACAGTGCTGCATCTACTTATGTGGCCTAGAATATCTGCTACAATTTGTTCATTGCACTGTGAGCCTTGAAGCTGGGTACAGTGTATTTTTAAAGAGTGTTTTAAATATCAAATGACATCCAAATGCATTTCAGTTCTAATGTGACCCATCGCTTTGCATCACCTGTTTATGCAAATGTTTGTCAGTTTTACTAACTGCACAAAATACATGATTAATTTTTAGGAGAGTTGTCCTGTGCTGTTTTCTATATTGTTTTGTACCACATAACGTCCATACTCTTCCCTTTGAAGAAACATTGCACTGTGTAATTTAAAGTCTCTAAGCTGTGAGAGAATTTAGACTCGGCCTAAAACAAAGAGGAGGAGCCATACACCTGCTGGCAGAAAGGGGAAGAAACATGGAATGTTCCTGGTTCATAAATACTTCATAAGGGTGCACTGTGAATGTTGATGTGCAAAGCTCACATCCTGAGCACAAATAAAAAAAAAAACATTTGCAGCCTTGAAAAATATTTTTCAAGGTTGCAAATGTTGTTTTATATAAGATACGGAAGGGAATGTGCTGTAGTGTGTGATGTGTACCTAGATGCAGTATTGAAAGTCAAAGAGAGATGAACTGGGTGGAAGTGCTATGGGGCATTATGTAATCACTGAGCGAAGGAGCCAGAGAGGGATAAAGATGTTGCAAATAAACATAACCCTCGTGCACTCAGCTGGAGTAACGCACTGCGCCGTCATATGTGCATGCTTGCCCGTGTTTTTGAACAAATGAGCAAGAGTAGCAGGGGAAACAGAAGGCATGTGTCAGTGTTTCTGCGTGCGTCTGCTGTGTGTGAGTGGGTCGTCTGAGTCTGTGGTTCCAGCCTGTCAGTGTCTCAAGGGACTGTGGGTCTGTGAGTGCTGCTGCTGCTCATCTCCTCTCTCTGTTCTGTCTCTCCTCCCTCTCCTGGGTCCAGCTCAGCACCTGCTATTTGCAGTAGGCACAGGGCAGGGCAGGGGTTCCTAAGCAACTGGAGGCAGAGCGAGTAGTTTCCTATAGTCTTTGTTTCTCTCCGTCGCTGTTCTTCTGTCTTTCTGACTTGGTTGTTCCATGTGAAACTGAACCAGAGGAAACGGTGCACAAAGGAACTACAAAATTTTTTTTCTTTTTTTTTGTACCCAAGTAGAATTAAGTAGATTCTTCATGTTAATACATTACATTAATAAGTTGTTACCACCACCACTTTGAACATTTTGTAGTACTGCAGATGTGAAATTATTTTGGTCTGTGGTCCAACGAAAAAAGTAATTATCTGTTACTGTAGAGACATTTTTTTATTTCCCATCTTATAGTTTGGCATCTTTCTTGTTTAGTGCTATTTAAATAAGTTTTTATAGAATAATCTTTAAACTAGTATGTTTTTCTTCAGCGAGAAGCAGCTAAGTTGCCCAGAAATGACACTGCTGTGCATGCGATGCCACATGAACTTTTCTCTGTGAAACTAAGGTGATGGTGCCCTACCCTGTGCGGCTGAGAATAATGAACCCCTTATGCTACACCCCCCGCCTGTGAGCTATATGGCCCTAATGGGGTCAGGCATATGAGTGGGGACCATGCCAGCGGCCCATAAAGACAGCTTGTATGTGTGTGTGTGTGCGCGCGTGCGTGTGCATGTGACCAGATGCATGTGCTTGTTTGTTTTTGGATTTAAATAAGATGGCTGAGGCGCTGTTGTTGGACAGGACTTTTTCAGTAGGCACTGATTTTCCCATTATTTTGAAACTGTGCCTCTTTCAATATCTAACCAGTTGTCTCAGAGTTGCATTGCTGACACCTTCACCATGAATACACCGTTGTTGCCTGAGATGACTGGACGACTTCGACGTGCATGCCTGCTGTTAGTGGACATTGTACCTTGTTAATGATTGCGCTGGTTGGCAGGCCTCCCTCCACGCCTGTTGGGAATTTTTGAAATGAGGCTTAGTGTAATGTACCAAATAGTGATGAGCTGTGTATTAAAAGAAGACAAGTAATGTAATATTTCCTGCTATTATCAAAACATTAGAAATCTGCTATAAATCTACAGATGTGCCAGTTATGTTTTCACACTTGGATTACTGCAGCATTTTCATATTAACCCTGTATTTTTGTTAGCACAGACTTGCATTTAGTGGCATGAATCTAGTTCCAATCAGCCTTACATGAAAGCTGTGTGCACCTCGTCCACATCGGCGCGCTGCTCTGTTCTCATCTGGTCCCCTGAAGTCCAGGCTCCAGCGGGAGGCTCCGCCCCTTTACGAGCGTCGGACACCTTCAGCACAACAAAGTGCGAGTCGCCCCGCAACATTGTTTCTGCTCTGAACGTGCGGAATATAGGATTTTATCGGATTTGGGCTGTTTGCTTTTCTGTCGATGCTAATCCTATAGTAGGTAAGCTAAATTTGAAATTGTTGTTCCTCTGATGCCGGGGACGAGTTGGTGTTTGATTTGCTGTACATTCGGCGCCATTTTCATACACAGATTGTTTAAATATCCTGGCACGTTGGCCAAACGCAGTCCATTACTGTTTTGCGGTTTAATAGGGGGAAAAAAGTTGGAAATGTTTGTCGCATTACCACGCGACATTTAAAAGACGATTTGCTCAAACTGATGAGAATTATTAGCCTACATCGTGCCCAAAGGTAATATATAACATAGGGTAACAACATCTTCATAAATCAAAAGTGGTCAGTAAGGCGGAGGCGGCGGCGCCTTCCGCGTGTGTTGTGTGAAAATGAATGGGCATGCAAGTTACTACTCTGCTATAAGCGTGCACATTTTAGTAAGATGGATTATTTTTTTAAATATTGTCCAGTAAAGGCTCATCTTCACATGCATTCTAGTACAGATGTCAGTATGATGTATAAAGGAATTAAATCTGAACGTTAAGAACTGACTGGAAGTGACATGATGGTCACATTTCTGTAGCCTGAATCATTCATATGTCAAATATTTATTTTTTCAGATGACGCACATGTGTCTCCTCATGTCAGGATGTTTTTAGTCTCAGGTACCGTTCTGCGAGGTGTGTCTGCTCAGGTGGTTGTTTTTTTTTCCCGTGCTGTTTCAGAAATGTCTCTGCATTTGGGTTTTGTTTTCTGCTTGGCATGGCTTGTCTTTACCTCCAGAGGAGTGTGTGTATGGGGTTAAAGATCCACCTTTGGTGGACGGTGGCATATGTGTCTGTTCCTGTGCGTAAGCAGGCCTGTACTACCCATAACACACTTAAGAAAAACTCATCCAATAAGTCTTGTCTGCGTTAATAATACTGCTGGATATATGTATCTGTTATCAAGCACTGCAGATATGACGCAGAAAGGATGAAGAACAGACAGAGGCAGCTTTAATGCAGTATGACTGCCAAGTGATTGCAACAGAAGTAAACAGGGGTTAAAACAAAAAAAACTGACAGCAATAAGGCGTGCATGCTCGGGGTCTCCTGTACTGCTGTTAACACAGAGCTGCTGAAGTGATGCTGAAGGATGTGTTTGGCTCTGCTGTGTGAGAGTGAGGTCACTAAGGTCCAAGAAGAGCTTGCTGATGTTAATCCTCTTTTGGGAGTTATGCTGCATTCATGCTGTTAGACTACCACGCTGTGTGAGTGTATTAATAGGGTGCAGACTCCACACACTGATTCCGTTTGCTCTTTTTTTATTATGAATGAGGGAGTCTGTGGCTTTGAGTCTCAATAAGACCCTGTTAAAAAAAAACATTTTATACACAAACATTTTTAAGATCTAGTTGCAGAATAATTTTATTCCATTGTGATTAATTGAATAACTGTGCAGCCATTTTTAAAATTCCTCGACTAATGAATACTACTGTGTAGACACAAATCTGGATTTTGAGCGTCCAACATAAAAAGAACACTTCTTTCATAATGTGTGCTAATGTACAGATATACTGTTCCTTTAGTGGGCTTTTGCTGACAGGAGGTTGGAAATGGATTCATAATTGCTTTCAGGGTGACCACAGTAAATCAATCAAACTACTTCATTCTTTTCCCATGTTGGTTCATATTACAGCATCAGACTCAAATGCCATCTGTGTGTATCGATTAGTTCAGAACTGGGTTTAGGATAGGGTTGCACAGAGAGCTTGACTAAAATAAACCTTTGTAGCCTAATATCCTTTGGTTGAATATACCCCAGTTCACACAAGAGCTATGGTGTCACAGAATCCCTGATTCGTTCACAGTTTGGTCACATTTTTAATTTGTTGCAAGTCACTTTATGTCTCGCCGTAATCTTGAAATATGCAGTATTAGATTAGACTTCTGAATCCCTTATAAAAAGGCAAATGTGTTGACTATTATGCCTACCAATATACTGTGTATTCATGATGATGCTGGGCAGGTTTGTGTTTAACTGAATATACGAACAGTTTAGCCAGGCACATGTTAGTGTGTATGCTGGCATGTGTGTCTCTGTTTACTTAGAGAGGTTAATAGAAGCCACCATGTGGCCAGAAGACTGATATCTTGGCCTTTGTTTCAGTTGTGTTGACTTTCAGCCAGGTAGGCGGGGCCCCACATAAAACCATGAAACAGCACAGCTGATAGCCACTGTGCTCCTTCCCGCTCTTCTCCCTCTCAGAGAGACAGAATCAGAGAGGAGAGAGACAGTGAGACAGACACTGTAGCAGGTAGATGTATAGATAATCTAAGTCCTTAAGTCCTTAAACCTACTCTTAGTGCCCAGGAAACATGCTTTATGTCCAAGTATTTCTACAAATCAAAGTTATTTTGGAACTCGTGTTACTTGTCAGTCAGTGACCAGTATTGGTCAGAAAAGGGCAATGAATTCACTCAAAACAAATTAAAACATTCCTCTATTGTCTTAAACACTAAGATGTAAGTGTAGTCCTCTGTTTGTGTTTTGCGGCTGCACATGCTTGCACGTGCATATGCATGTTGTGTGCACACAGTGCACTGAACAGAAATAGGTATGAGCTCATCTGTAAAGGCTAACTAATGACTCCCTGCATCCTGAGCACATGTAGCTATTTATATGCTATACCTCCTCCTCCTTTGCAGGCTCAGCCCCTTTCAGCCTTCTCATCTCATTTCATCATACAAGCACAGCAGCAGCATTACAGCATCACTGGCAAATAAAATAAAGACTTTGGTATCTAGACAATTCCTGAAAATATCATTTTAAACCTGATGACTTGGGTTAGTGGGCAATTAGTGTGTTTTGGTATTAGTCACAGATAAGTAATCGGGCTATCATCAGTCAGAATGTTTTTGCATAATTTTAATAAATAAATTTTAATGAGATCAACTGGGGCTCACACTGTTAATGTTATTTACATTTAAGCATAAAATATTCATTGAATCCCCTAAGGTCCCATTCTCTTTCCTTTATGTGAAATTCACTGAGCCAAATAAATAAATATCCCTCAACTTTAAAATGATCTTCCTGTGGGGACAATACATTCAATTAAGAGTCATAGAAACGTGCAGTAAATTTCCAGATTCAACTTCAGCCCTGGTGTTTGCACCTGATCCAAGCAGCTCTTTTTTGAACTCTTGCTAGACGGTGGCCTACTTCATCTATAATTTATCTCATTAGAGACAGTAATTATGTAGCATTGAGGGCAGATTTTATTTATTTTTTTTTTTTAGTATAGCAGTATTTCATCTAATTACTTCCACAACAAAAAAGAAACATGCCTCATATTACAAGAGACTGATGCTCTGTTGAGAGGTCCTGTGGTGTGGCTGCCCCTATCTTAATTGATCATGAGACAGGTTAGCGCTGCTCAGCTGGCAGATAGCAGAGATGTTAGATCGGCAACACAAAATGGAGGAGGCAGCAGACACAAGCTCAGCTGGTCCATTAGGACCATGTCTGTTTCCTGACAAGCAGAATTGAGATGACAGAGTATTAAAAGACCCAGATGAGCCTGTGAGCATTGATGCATACTGGTGTGTTTGTGTGTGTATGTATGTGTGTGGTGACCTAGGGAATATATGGGGTCTTGTGGGGGGAAGGGTAAGCAGGATTAGTTATAGTGTGCGGCACAGTTATTGGTCACTGGACGCAAACAATGGGAGGGCTGAAAAGGATTTGGTCTGTGTGTGTACTCCCTCCTCCTCCTCTCCTCCTGTCCTGTAGTGCCAGTATGAAGGAAGGGTATGGTATAGGGGGCCAGCCTGCACCCTTTGGGATGGCTCTGTACATCTGGAAGATTGACTTGTCTGCCTGTCTAGCTTTTTCCCTCCCCCACTCCACACAAAACAGGAGGGGGCATTGAACTACATATGGAAAATACAAACACAGCTACATTAGTCACCGTTTAGACAAGGGGTAAGTCCCAGTTCCCTTAGCTACATCCACGTTTCCCTCACTTACATCTTTTCTTTGTGTCTTAGTCCTATCCAAGTAAAATTCAAAGAAAAATGTGAGGGGAGAGGAATTGAGGAAAAACATTTTAGTCATGAGACATCCTTTCTTCCTATCCTTCATCGGAAGTATCCAGTCACCAAATGACTTTCAAAGAGGTGGGCCAGTCCATGAAAGACCGCAGCGAAGGATGGTCTTGTGTATCCTCACTCACGGCTCCTCGAGGCAGCCTCCTTAGAGCTCTGGGACGCCCTTTAGATGATGAGCGATGAACAATCAAATAGGGGAACTGTGATTTACATAAGGCCTAGTACACAGGGTGGGTATCTCATTGAAGTTAGGAGTTGACTGTATAGTGAGTCACTGTGACTGATAAATCTCACTTATAAGAGGCGTGTGATTGCTTAATACCTCCAGTGTATTTCAGCCCATTGTGTGATTTAAACAGATGGCTAGAACTTTCTAAATATATCATATCTGTCTTCTCCCTACCACACCTGTGAATCAGTCACGTTCATTAAAGACCTTTGTCCTGTGACTGTGAAACAACTGTGATAATAAGTAAATTAGGCAAGTGTGCCTGTACTTCTACATATTAGTAGTACTCTTCATAGCTTCTCTACAGTCAGGTTGAAAAGACCAGTAGGTAAAATGTTTGCTGTTAGCTCTAAAAAAAATGCTCTGCATTGAAATGGACAGTATGGATAAAGTCCTCTTTTGCCATATGCCCAATATAGTCCACCCAGAAATATTAATAAAATAGTGACTGTAGTATAAACAGTATTAAGAGTTGGCTAGTGTCGTCTCACGGTGTATAGCATCCTTTCACCCTAGTTCTGTGTGTAGCCTATTAAGTTGGTGTGGATAATCTTTGCCGGATGGGTGTGTGCGGGAACCAGGCATGCTTGGTGAGGATGAGCTAATAGGCAGCTCCAAAGCAGAATGCCTCCTTTGAGATTTATTGGGTCTGTCATAGGCAGTGGTGTAAGCTCACCCTCAGAACTCCATGTAGACACAAACACACAAGGCTATTGTCTGATAAAGTGATATTTGTTTATGCGTAAGTATGTGTGTGTTTGAGTTGGAATATAATCTGTGGGTGGCAGTTGGCTGCATGTTTTATAGAATAAGTCTGTCATGCCAGTCACAGTGGGCAGCTGACAATAAATTTAACCAGCAATGCAAATTACTTATTGTAAAAACTGTGCATGATAAATTGCTCTTGATTAGAGCATCATCATCTAAAATCAAAGTATTAAGGGGGAATAAAGAAGCATCCTTAGAGGATATCCTGTCCTACTTACCCATGATGAAAGATTAAAATTTCTATTACATCTTTGCTGTGTATTGAGAGAAAAGGCCAAAACAACTGTACGACTCTTTTCTTATAATTTGGAATTTAATAAGTTAGAAGATTCACACTCTCTAAAATTAACAAGAAATTTCCTTTTGTTTACTTCAGACTAGCACGTATCAGCATCGTCTGGGATTTAACACAACAAAATATTTTGGACCATTTTTGGTGTTTGCGGAGCTGCAGCTGCTGATTATTTTCACTACTGATTAATGTGCCAATTATGTTCTAAAATTGTTCTATATAGAAAATTGTAACAAATGCCCATCACAATGGGGCAGTTGCCTGTCTTAAGATATTCACTCACACCATAAAATAAAACAAAAGCAGCACATTAATCACCTGAAACGGTGTGTTTTTATATTGAAAAATGCATGAAATAAAATTGGTGCTGATTTATTTTGTTAGTCAATTGATCAATTAACCACTTGGTTTCAGAGCTAGTTGTTTGTTATAGTCCTTAAGCATGAACCTTAGTGGTTTACTGAAAACATCAGCATTGTATCAGCGTAGTATAGTCTGCGTATTCTACTGTATATGTGTGCTATTGACAGCAAAGTGAAGTATAATGTTTCTTACACACAGGCTGCTCCTAATCTTGTTTGTTGTGTTCCAAGTAAAGGCGTGCTGTGCACCCTCACACTGTACAGCACCACGACCTTTTTCCATCTATGACTCCCTTCTGTTCTCCTTCCCAGTGGCTACCATGACAACAGAGGCAAGTGTGGTGAGTGAGGCGGACACTGAGGGCAAGCAGAAGGCTAGTGGCGCCGAGCCCGAACCTGACCCAGAGAACAAGCAGAAGCCAGAGGAAGCAGCGTCTGAGCCAGAGGGGGAGCAGTCGAGCAAGAAGACCCAGGAGCAGTCTTCTGAACCTGGGCCTGCAGAAGCAGCAGCCTCTCCTGAGGAGGAGCAGCTGAAGCCTAGTACCAGGACCTCAGCAGGCAAAGGCCTGTCTCGCCTCTTCTCATCTTTCCTCAAACGCCGCTCACAGTGCTCTGAAGGAGAGGGGTTTGAAGCAGAGAAAGCCAGGGAGGAAAAGGCGGACAAAGAGGAAAAGGCAGACAAGGCAGAAGAGGAGAAGGAAGAGGAAAAGGTGAAAAGTGAAGAGAAGGAGGCTAAAGAAGAAGTGGAACAATTAGAGGTAAAACAAGTGAAAAAGAGAGATGAAAAACAAAAAGAGGTAAAAAAGAAAGAAGAAAAATTTGAGAAGGGCAGTAAAAAGAAAAAGAAGAAAGTAGAGGAAAAGGATGAGGAGAAGGTGAAAAAGGACGAGGCAGAAAAGGAAGAGAAAAAGGTGAAAAAAGAGGAACAAAAAGAGGAGGAGAAAACGCAGAAGACTGTAGAAAAAGCGGAAGAAAATTTTGAGATAAAAGACGAAAAGAAGGAGACTGCTGAAATTAAAGACAAGGAGACAGAGGCTGGAAAAAAGGTGGAAAAAGTAGACAAGAAGGTGGCAAAGAAAAAAGAAAAGGAGCAAAAGGTAAAGAAGAAGGAAGAGGAAAAAGCAAAGCGGAAAGCAGAGGAAGAAGAACGTGTAAGAAAGAAAGAAGAGAAAGCAAAGAAGAAAGAAGAAGAAGAAAAAGCCAGAGAAGCTGAAAAAGTAAAGAAGAAAGAGGAAGAAAAGTCAAAAAACGAGGAGGAGGAGAAGGTAAAAAGGAAAGAACAGGAGAAAGTAAAGGAGGGGAAGAAGAAAGAAGAGTCAAAAAAGAAAGAAGACCAGGTGAAAGAAGAGGCAAAGGACAAAGAGGAGGAAAAAACAGAAGGAAAGCAGAAGAAGGAAGAGGAAAAAGGGAAGAGGAAAGAGAAAGGAAAGAACAAAGGAAGGAAGGTGGAGAGGGAAATGAAAAGGCTGAGTGAGAAGAAGATGAAAGCACCGATTGCTGCTCCGGAGCCTGAGCTTAAAACTGAGCTAGACACTGAACAGGCTCCTGATCAGCACTCAGTAAGCAGCGCAGAGATACAGGTGAGTGCATCTCTGACAAATGACACTTGAAGGACCGAAAGTCTAAGATTTAGCTTTCTTGCTGAGAGTTAGGTGAGCGAAATGATAGCACTCTTGTGAGTGTGCTATAAATCATATTACTGCTGGAAAGTCTATATGTTAGTCACAAATGCAAAAGGACAAAAGTCATTGTCACTTTTTTCCTGTATAGAAATTCATAGTTCAGATTTGACTGTTGTAGAGGACTCACTTTTTTGTTCTCATGAATATTTGATGAGGTGGCAGCTTGCACAGAAAAAGTAATTATGCTGCTTTGAGCTGAAAGCTTGTTCTGATCCATGCTGCTGTGAAGTAGCGGTAGTGTCAACAGCAGCATATTTGGTGTTTACCAGTATTTGTAGTTTAATTATAGCACTGACATAATTTCTAAAAACAGCACATTGTGTCCTGCCACATTCTTTTCATCTGTACTTGACATACGTTGCATGTTGTGTGTTGACTACCAGCTAGCTCAAGAGGATAACAAAGAGGAAGCTGAGATGTTGGACGAAGTGAAGGAAGAGGACACAGAGAAAAGAGAGGGAGAACCTGCAAATCATGAGAAAGAAAGTCCAGAAGAAGAAGAGGCAAAAACGGAGAAGACAACAAAGAAGGCAGAAGAGGCCAAAGGCTCCAAACGTCAGAAGACCATGCAGTGCCAAGTCACCTTACTGGATGACACTCAGTTTGAGTGTGAACTTGATGTAAGAAACTTCCCAAATTTCAATATGTCCTTGTGTTTGTTTAATAACTGTCACCCCAGTTAAACATTAAATTGCTATGAAGACTGAAGAATATCTCCTTCTTCTATTAATCTGTCTGCCTGTCCCTCTATTGTTTAGAAACATGCAAAAGGTCAGGAACTTATTACAAAAGTGTGTGACCATGTTAACCTGCTGGAGAAAGATTACTTTGGCCTCGCTTACTGGGAAACGCCAACTAGCAAGGTAGGCAGTGTTTTTTTTCTCCTGTAAATTTAGCTACATTGCATAACCAGGTACTGTACATGACGCTGACAAGATATTTGTTGAGAGCAGCTGGTCATTTTTTCTTTGTTTTCTGCAGACATGGTTGGAACCCACAAAAGAAATCCGGAAACAGGTTTCTGGTGCCGTGTATGAGTTTACATTCAGTGTCAAGTTCTACCCTCCTGATCCAGCACAGCTTACTGAAGACCTCACCAGGTACATGTCTCTAGTGTTAAAGGAATCGTTTGGCATTTTGGGAAATCTGCTGGTTTTCTTTCTTGCTGAGAGTTAGAGGATTGATACCACTCTCACGCTTGTTTGTTAAATGCAGTATAAAACTAAGCTTAACACAAACTGCTAGCTGTTTCATCCTGCTTCTGGCCTGTATGCTAAGCCAAGCTGTTGGCTTCAGCTTCATATTTAGCATGCAGACAAGAAAGCAGTATTGGTCTTGTAACTCTAAAGCAAGCATGTATTTCCAGAAATATCATCAACACAATAAAATCTTGTATTATCTCTCATGAAATGCAGAATACATTTTATCTTATAAGTAGGCTTATTTTTCTTTCACATCTTCTCCAGGTACTTTCTGTGTCTCCAGCTGAGGAAGGACATCATGCGTGGAGTTCTTCCCTGTTCCTTTGTCACACTGTCCCTGCTGGGCTCCTACACAGCCCAGTCAGAGCTTGGAGAATATGACCCGGAGCTTCATGGAACAGACTATGTTAAAGATCTGAGCCTTGCCCCTGGACAGAGCAAAGAGCTGGAAGAAAAAGTGATGGAGCTGCACCGCACATACAGGTAATCAAAGGAGACACATAGCAATGACATAGTTAACACATAACTTTGATCTAGTTGGTGTGAGTGCAGTTCAGCAGACAAATCTTCAAGAACTTCTGTATCATTGATGTTTATGTAACTAACTGTTTAACAAATGAATAGACTTTTCACCCCTTTTATTTATGTATTTCCAGGTCAATGAGTCCAGCCCAAGCAGACATGTTGTTTCTGGAAAATGCCAAGAAACTTGCCATGTATGGAGTTGACCTGCACCAAGCCAAGGTATGGTGTTTTTCAAGTTATTGCACATTTGGATGAATGCTTTGTGTGTTTTGCAGCAACATGCTTGTATTTCATTAGCAGCTTCCACATTTTAATTATAAAATTGATGTAGGCCCTTTTTTTAAAAATAAATAAATAAATAACATAACTGGACATGACTGGACAATAACCCTCAGTGCAATACCTGTGTGTGTGTGTGTGTGTGTATACATTGTACAGATTATACAGACTCGTACAGGTCTCTAGCTTTAAGTACTCTGTTTTTATTCCTATATATCTCATTTCAATAAACATTCCTTTGTTTGTCTGCGTTGTTTACTGTCTGTTTATACTGCTTATTTTGCATTGTTTGCACTGTTTGTTGCTTGTTAATACAGCTTATTTTGTTATATTTCACAGCCTTATGCTGGTTCACTGTTTACTTGCCCCTTGCATGGGGATATGTACATGCAAACTGAGAGCCGATGTACCAGAGTCAAATTCCTTGTGTGTCCGACACCTGGCCAATAAAGCTGATTCTGATTCTGAACTCCATGGTATCATAGCATGAGAAAGGCTGCCTCCTGGTGAATGTTTATTGCAAATGCAGGTTAAGTGTGAAAGTATGTAGTGTCACTTTGGTCATACCTGTTTATGTTTTTGTGTGTGCAGGATCTTGATGGAGTTGACATTACACTGGGTGTTTGTTCCAGTGGTCTTATGGTTTACAAGGACAAACTGAGGATCAACCGTTTCCCTTGGCCTAAAGTGCTCAAGATCTCTTACAAGCGCAGCAGCTTTTTTATCAAAATAAGGCCATCGGAGGTAAATTTCTTTTGCTTTGTTTTTGTTTTGTTTTGTTGTTGTTGTTTCTTACTTTTCCTCATCCTTCTAAGTCACTCTAATCACATATCCCATCCATCACTGTTATAAAGTCTATAGAGCCAATGTGTATAAATTTTGGCTATACACATTCATTTAGCTTAACTTAACAACTGCTTAATCAATCTGTTATCTTAACTGAAACAGTAGATAATACAGCAATTCTAGTGTTGATTCCAGACAGTTCTGTAAATTTGCATGTTTATCAGTGGTACAGTCAGGGAAAAAATTATTTGAACCCCAGCTGATTTTGTAAGTTTGCCAACTAACAAAGAAATGATCAGTCTACAATTTCAATGGTAGGTTTATGTGAACAGTGCGAGACACAACAATAACAAATAAATACAGAAAAATACATTACAAAAAAAAAAGTTATAAAGTAATTTGCATTTTCATGAATGAAATAAGTATTTGATCCCTTTGCAAAACGTGCTTTAGTACTTGGTGGCAAAACCTTTGTTGGCAATCACAGAGGTCAGACGTTTCTTGTAGTTGGCCACAAGGTTTGCACACATCTCAGGGGGGATTTTGACCCACTCCTCTTTGCAGATCCTCTCCAAGTCATTAATGTTTCGTGGCTGATGTTTGGCAACTCGAACCTTCAGCTCCCTCCACAGATTTTCTATGGGATTAAGG